CTGCATAAAGCAAAGAAAACTGAAAACTAACATTCATTGGTTCACTTTATATGGTATTTTACCTTACATTATGTAATGCACCTCCCTCACTCTTACTACATAACTTATCTAAGAGCAAGGGATAACAAACAGAAATGTCAACAGTTATGTTGCTATCTAACCCTAATTATTAAAGGGCACTAGAGAAGCCTGCAGCTTTGGGTTGACAGCCAATCAATTAATTGTTCCATTGTTGTTCAGTTAGGTCCAACTCTTTGTGATCCCATGGACCATACCATCCAGGGAGTTTTCTTTGGCAAAGATACTGGAGTGGTTTGCCATTTCATTCTCCAGTGGATTAAAGCAAACAGAAATTAAGTGACTTGCCCAGGGTCACACACCTAGTGTCTGAGGCCGGATTTGAATTCAGATCTTCCCAACTCTAGGCCTACCACTCTATCAACTGAAGCACCTAGCTGTTCTTCAAATCACCCCACAGACATTTATTAAACAACAACTCTGTACAAAAACACTGTGCTAGGCACTTGGATTACAGAGACAAATAATGAAATAAACTTTACCTTCCATGGAAGATTAAGACAGGCATTGATGAGAATTTCACAAAATCGGAAGTAATCAATGGGCTGTGATCCACATAGATTGTAGGAATGCTCACAGAGAGTTGAGATCACGGATTCATCTCAATACCCAAAGTAGAAAGGGGAAGGGCCTAAGATAGTACCTGAGTTAAGTATTCCAGTCCAGGTGGACAATTCAGTGGTGGTGCTGCTGGAGTCCACTGTGCCCATTGAGATGTACCAGGCTGAGGCTGATTAGAAAAGGCAGCATGCTGATTGGCAGGAAAGCCAATAGGCCCGGGGGCTGGATAGCCCATCTGTTGTGGAGGGCCTTGAGTATGAAACAATGACAAGGTTTATAATTTTGTGCACCAGTGTATTATAACATATTAACAAGTTTGAGACATAACTGATGACTTAGAAAATTACACACTGAAATAATTCAATTTTGTAGGCGTTAAGACGGTTTGGTTTTTTTTCAAATGTATTGATTGAAATTTTCAAATTTATGGATATCCTTTCCTTTTACATCACCTTGCTAGACAAACTCTTTCTCCTCCCCCCCGTTAGCCACCACTTGCAATGAAAATGAAAAAAAGGGAATAAATGTGCCAGCAAAAGTCAATGTGACAGTCCCCGGCAAAGGGTTGGCCAACCACAAGACCACCTAGGATTCGTAGCTTTTCCCATTTTGGGAAAAAAAGCATCTACCATGAGATGAGCACTCAGACAAGAATGGTGTGGATAAAATGAAATAAGCATAGCCAGGAGAACACTGTACACAGTAACAGCAACACCGTGTGATGCTCAACGACAAATGACTTGGTTCTTCTCAGCAATGCAATGATCCGAGACAAGTACAAAAGACTTAGGATGGAAAATGCTGTCCACGTCCAGAGAAAGAACTGATGGACTCTGAATGCAGATCAAAGCATACTATTTTTTCACTTTATTTCTTTATGCTTTTTTACCTTTTGGTTTGTTTCTTCTTTTACAATTATGACCAAATTGGAAACATAGTTTACACGCTTACACATATGCAATATATCAAATTGCTTATAATTTTAGGAAGAGGGGAGGGGAGAAAGGGAGGGGGGAGGGGAGAAAGGGAGGAAGGAAGAAAAATTTGGAACTCAACATTTTGTAAAAATGAATGCTAAAATATGTCATTATATATAATTGGAAAAATAGTCATAAAAAAGAAGGGTGTAGATTTATTTTCCACACATGGTGGACACAGGACTTTGAGGACTCTCAAGGAGAAGGAGGGGAGAAGAGAAAGGTGTCAGTGGTCTCTTAGCACCAAAGGGTGCAAACAGGGAAAAAATCAGGGAAGCAGCCATTGCATACTACATCTATTGTTCCCCTACTATAGATTACGTGACACCATGAATATCTCTTATATGAAGTTTGTTTTTATAAAGAATACAAGATGCCCCTGAAGTTTTAGTATGGTTTTAAGCAATTAAAACTTAAAACTACATTAAAACTTTTGGGGCACTTCGCATATTAAGTTTATCTCAGTAATGCTAACATTGTACTGCTTGTGTATTCCCTTCCAAAATCTTTCTATTCTCTTCTATGTACTTTTAATTTTATTTTTTAAATAATATTTCATTTTCCCCAATTACATGCAAAACCAATTTTTAACATTCTTTTAAGATTTGAGCTCCAAATTCTCCTCCCCTCTCACTGAGACAGTAAGCAATCTGATATAGATTATCCATGTGCAATCATGTAAAACATTTCAAGATTAGTCTCTTGTGCAAGAAGACTTGAATAAAAGAAAGGAAAGAAAGAGGAAGGAAGGAAGGAAGACAGGGAGGGAGGGAGGGAAGGATGGAGGGAAAGGAAGGAAGAAAAAAGAAAAGCAATATGTTTCAGTCAGAATTCAGACAACATCAGTTCTTTCTCTGGAGGCGGATAGCATTTTTCATCTTAAGTCTTTTAGAATTGTCTCGGATCACTGTATTGCTGAAAATATCCAAGTCATTCACAGTTCTTCATTGGACAATACTGCTGTTATTGTGTACAATGTTCTCCTGGCTCTGCTTATTTTAGTTTGTATCAGTTCATGTAAGTCTTTCCAGGTTTTTCTGAAATCATCCTGTTTGTCATTTCTTGTAGCCCAAATAATATTCCATTAAATCATATGCCAAAACCTGTTCAGTCATTCCCCAATTGATGGGTATCTCCTCAATTTTTAATCCTTAGCCGCCACAAAAAGATTTGGTATAAATACTTTTAAACAAATAAGTCCTTTTCCTTTTTTATTTTTTTATCTCTTTGGGATATAGACCTGACAGTGGTATTGCTGGATCAAAGGATATGCACAGTTTTACAGCATTTTGGGTATAGTTCCAAATTGCTCTCCAGAATGGTTAGGTCAGTTCACATCTCTACCAACAGTATATTAGCATCCCAACTTTCCCACATTCCCTCCAGCAATTATCATTTTCCTTTTTTGTGATATTAGACAATCTGATAGGTTGTGAAGTGGTACCTCAGGGTTATTTTAATTTTCATTTCTCTAATAATAGTGATTTAAAGCATTTTTTCATATGACTAGATAGCTTTGATTTCTTTGTCTGAAAACTGCCTGTTCAAATTCTTTGACCATTAATCGATTGAGGAATGATTTGTATTCTTACAAATTTGACTCAGTTCTCTATATATTTGTGAAATGAGGCCTTTATCAGAGATACTTGCTGTATTTTTTTTTCTGTTTTCTACTTTCCTTCTAATTTTGGTGGTATTGGTTTTGTTTGCGCAAAACCAATCAAAATGATCCATTTTAGATTTTATAATGATCTTTATAATTTGTTTGGTCCTAAACTCTTCCCTTACCAATAGATCTGGCAGATAAACAATTCCATGCTCTCTTAATTTGCTTAGGGTATCACCCTTCATGTGTAAATCATGTACCCATTTTGACCTTTTTCTTGGTATATGGTATGAGATGGTGGACTATACCTAATTCCTGCCATACTCTTTTCCAGTTTTCTCAGCAGTTCTATGAATTTAAAAAAAAAAACTTCATTGACACTTTCCTTTCTTTAAAAAAAAAAATTTGTATCACTATCACTCCTTCTGCTGCCCTCTCCATACCTCTCCCCTCTCTGTCCCAAATAAAACCTTTCCATTGTAACATAAATAAGTGTACTCAAGCAAAATACTCTAAACATTAAGTGTATCTGAAAAAGTATGGCTCCCTGCCTATTTCTTGTCCATCACTTCCCTGCCAAGGGGATGAGAAACATCATTTATCAACAATCTGCCAAAGTCTTGATTGGCCATTGCATTAATCATAAGTCTTAAATCCTTTACAATTGTTTTTCTTTGCCATTGTAGAAATACTATTTTTGTTCTACTCATTTTAGTCTGAATCTGTTAATTTCAACATTTCTCCCAGGTTTCTATGGATATGTTACTTTCATAATTTCTAACAGCAAAATAATGTCACATTACATTAAATCTTAATTTGTTCAGCCATTTCATAATTGATAGGTACTCCATTTCTTTGCTACAACAAAAAGTGATGTTTTAAGTATTTGTGTGCATGTGGATTCTTTCTCTTTACATGTCTGATATTGATATAACTAGTCAAATTTAGTATCTTTGAGGGTAGTTAAAAATCACTTTCCAGAATAGCTAGATAAATTCACAGGTTATCCAAAGTATATCAATGTTCCTGTCTTCCAATAGTACATCTATTGTCAGTTTCCATTTTTTGTCATCTGCCAATCTGATAGATATAAAGTAGAACCTTAGAGTTATTTTATTTTGCATTTCTCTTATTATTAAATAGGGCAGCTATGTGGCACAGTAGATCAAGTGTTGGGCCTGGAGTCAGAAAGATTCATCTTCCTGGGTTCAAATCTGGCCTCAGACACTTACTACCTGTGTGACCCTGGGCAAGCCACTTAACTCTGTTTGCCTCAGTTTCCTCATCTGTAAAATGAGCTGGAGGAGGAAATGGCAAACCATTCCAGTATCTCTGGCAAGAAAACCCCAAAAGGAGTCACAAAGAGTCTGACATGACTGTAAATGAAACAAAACAATATTATCAAATATCAGCAGCATTTTTCATATGGTTATTGATAAACTGTCTTTCTTCTTTTGAAAACTATCAGTTCATATCCTTTATTCATTTATCCACTGGGGAAACAATTCTTCTCATGTCCAAGCATTGTCCATGTCCAGCTACTTTGGCTTCCATTCTTTTACTCAAGCAATTATTTAAAAATCACAAAACACGAAATTAATAAAGATTGTTTAAAAATCACAAAACTTGAAATTAATAAAGAAATTAATAAAATGATCCTCTGAAGTAAGCATGTTTCTCAATGCAACATCCAAAGAAGTAACTGGGAGAATAAGACACAGAATTTTCACCATTTTTCCTGGTAATTGATACTACTATGCTATTCCTCATTATCGGAAAATCAATAAATGGTCAGATTAAGTCACGAAGTTTATTCACTGAAGTTCACATACTTTTCTCATTGGCAAGCATCTCAGGCCACTCTTAAAGTTGATTTCCTCTTGTTTTACCAACAGTTGTAACAGGTCTATTTATCTCCATGATGACCTTGCTGCATATTGGGAAGTTCATTTTAAAATTTTTGCATCCTTGATGCATAACACACTGCTTTTACATATTGGGCTCTTAATGAACAATGGACTGAGTTAGAGAAATGCACTTAGATAATAAGGGAAAGTAATGGTTTATGGCAAAGGTGGAAAAGGCTGGGAAACTGTAGAAAGTATACACAAAACGTCTCCAAAAGCACAATAGTCCGGGACCATTTAGAATCGATAACCTTATCCATCCCAATGGTCCCTGAGGGGTTTAATGTATCAGAGCACAGTATAATGGTTGTCATTTCTAATGAGAAATGTAATTCATCAATCAATATTAAGTGCTTATTATATTTCAGGCTTCATAAAGAGTATGTGGAAGATCATTTAATCTGTTCAAGTAGGCAGGGAGGTGTGTCCAACACTTTAGAAATGCCTCTATACAAAACAGTTAAGATGCTTTTTGTGCTTAGAGGTGAAGCCTCAGCTATCTAGAATGATATACTCCCTGAGCATTCCCAATAGATGAAGTTTTATTGGACATTTTAAAAAGTCATTTCAAACCCCACCCCATCCGTTCTCATTGGGCAAAAGTACACATTGAGAAGTATTGTGACTATGTCAGTCGCAATTGAGGAAATATTTAAAACAAGAGTTCTTAACCTTTTCCCATATGCCATAAATTTCTTTGGCAGTCTAGGAAAGCCTAAGAACCCTTGATCAGAATAATGTTTATAAATGTATAGAACT